ATGTGTATGTGAATGTGTATGTGAATGTGTATGTGAATGTGTATGTGAATGTGTATGTGAATGTGTATGTAGATAAGGATGAGAATGTGGATGTGTATGTTTATGTATATCTGTATGATCGAATGTGTATTGGCAAATCTATAGGCTTGTGTATGTGAGCCGGTCTTTGCGTGTGTTTATGCGCAAGATTATAGGACTGTCAACGTATATTTTGCATGTGTGTGCGTGTGTATGATACGGTAGAAGATAATGTGCGCACAAAAGATAAGGATGGATATTAAATAGGCTGTGATAGGGACGCGATGGGCTTGGAAGCAGCCACGCGGGAAAGCAATAATTTGCTCAACTTTACAATTCCTCTGGCCTTTTGTGGTCTCTGTTGCCTGGCCGGACAGTTGTCCTATTTCTCCAGACCACAGCATCCCGGTTTATGATGTCACCCCTAGCATCCTATCTGGTTGTGCCTGTGTGCACGTCTCTATGGCCTAGTATGGCTAAACTAGTGTAAGTGTGATGAAGACCGCTTTGTCAGCCATCAATTAATTACTCTGTCACATAATCTTTTTCCCGTTCGGCGACATAGTGACGCCGAAAATGGGCTCAATCGCGTGTCGAATGTGCCACATTTGCCATCCAAATCTCCTGACAGCAATTGCCGACAGTGAAGATGTACCCAACAAGTTCAGGCCGACAAACTGCCGTGGGGAGTTGGGTGGGGAGAGTGGGGAGAGTGAGGAGAGTGGGGTTGGGCGGCAGCTTTCTCTGTTCCGCATGACTGACTGCAATGAGGCCTACTGAACTTTGACTTATGCCATTTGTGGTATGCCGAATGACGACGAGGGGATGGGGACGGATGCTTCCGTGGCGCAGCGGTACCACAGGCCGCGGTATCAGCTGAATGGGAGGTCTTCTGGAGTCCTCCGGACGATCGGACGGCGGCAGGCGTCTTTCTTGTAAAATATGGGATTCTAGCCCAACACTTGCAATCGTACTTTATGCATGTTTAACTACTCAAGAAGACATGCCCACACCGGTTATATGAAGTTCAATGAAAACAGAAGGCCCACTCATATCATTGTGGGAAAATTCAACTAAACCTGATCACCTTAAATGAATTAAGAGGGAAGTCTACTTATAACCATAAATAAGTAATATGGTGATTGCTGTGAAAAATACGACTTTGCTTCACTGACAATCTCATTAGAAAGTGTGATTTAAGGGCACTTGTAGCAGTCTGGAGTAGTGCCTGAAGTGTCGAGACTGTACGCTACACCTCATCACCTCGGGTTCGATCCCCGCCGGGGGTACAACAAGGTCGAAGCTGCCCTACAGTACAGTTGGGATGGGAATGCTAAGCAGATCAAGGGGAAATTCAATGGACACGAGAGGCCACAATCACACGATTGTGGGAGAATTTAACTATCAATCAATCATCTCCTTAAACGAAATAGTGAACATGGTTCTTGTAGCATGGCTCTATTATCAGGTCAATCTGTCCGCCTCACCACCTGAGGCTTTTCGACTGCAATCTCTTTCATATGACGCAATCGAGATCAAAGTCACCGAAATATGTGGCTCAAAAGACTGACTTCATCAGCCCAACAACGGGACTCAAACCGTGAATTCATGGCGCCAAAGAAAGATATAATCTTTACTGACTGACTGGATAGATTTGTCGAAGTTTTGTTGGTACTCGGTTGGTTGAGGTGACTTGGCCCAGTCGAGTCGAGATGGGTTGACGTGTTGAGGGGACAAGACGAGTGAAATTGTACGCGATAATCTCCAATCTCATTCCTAAAAGCATAGTAACCGATTTAGGGTGATACAATTTTGAAGCATACTACTCAGACTGTGAGTAGTTTTTAGGACTGCTAATAAATATTGCATAAGAGTATATTTCGAGTAGTATGTATGAGTAGATTTTTAAAATATTCGCAATTCTTGAAAATAAAATTAGGCAGTCAATGCAACTGAAGAAGAATGAAATTTTGATAATAAAGTTGTTTTCATGACGATTTACTGTATCAGTGAATTTCACTTGCTCTTGCCATGAAAATGTCTTTTCATCGAGAATGTGGCTCAGGCATTTTAGTATCATCAGTCCGTGGACGTGTTGTCAAGTCACAGCGTCTGAAGTCCGCAATTTCTAGAATCCGACCATGTTGTTGCTACTTGGCACCAGACCAGCTACTACATTCTTGGTGAATAGTTTTGGTATCTCTTCTGAGGTCCTGCAGGTGGAAAGTCTGGGCATTACGATGAAAATTAGCAGATGAGTCAACGCAACAGGATCTAATTGCAAAAGAAATGCTATCCTATTTCTGCGAGGTGAAAGGAGACTGAGATATAAATAAAGATGATTTTGTTCTTTATATTTCTTTCTATCACGTATGCTATTTACTTTATTATTTTAAAGATTCAACTATCAGTCCTTATATGAATAATAACTTATTTCTTGGATTTTCTTATTTTATTAGTTTTTACGTAAATTATGGTTTATCGCTCTAAAAATTTCTTTCACGACGGGACAATCATAAGTGTAGCACAGGTTGAAGGGAGTCTCGAGCCGTTAAGCTGAGGACTTATGGGCAAAATCGAACAGTTTTCACTCCACTGCAATCGATTCTTTGTTGTTATAGTGATACAAATTCAGGAATTTCACTCATCAAAACTTTTCCTCATGAAGGAAAAGTTGCGTTACAATAAGTTTTTATCGTTAAAATCATTACGATTCCATGAAAAATCAAGCAAAACAGAGGTTTTAAAGTGCA